ATAAACGTAAAAAAACATCAAGAATAAGCATATTATTCCTAAATCTGCAGGATTAGTTTCTAAGATTTAAATATAGAACAATCTTCTTCAGCTGCAGAAGTGTAAATGATTAAAGAGAAGCCAGTGATAAGATAAGGCGATAATGAATGAAAGGAAGGAAGTTGAGCTTTTGGCGCCCTCTACCGATGAAAATTGAAAACAACTATGAAATAATTTCCTTAAAAGCTAAAGGTAAAGATGCATTAGACTTAGGAACTTTAACTAAAACTGAAAGATTTAATGTATTGTCTAAAACAAGCCTTACAACATACAACAAATATTTATTCCTTCTCAATCACAAATTCAATGTTTGCAAAGTTACTATTCTGAAAAGACAATAACTCCGTGTTTAAATAATTGTTGAAATACTCCCAGATTACATTGTTATTGGCATCTAGATCAATGACTGAATTAGAAATGAAGTAAATCAAGAGAAATTTGTCTGTAAATGCAGTTTTAAAGTAACAGAGGAGGTATGTGATCATTATTTGTACCCAGTAAAAAATAATAATAATAATAAAATAATAAGATCTATAATAACAAATAAATAATAATAATAAAAATAACGTCTATCATTTGAACTTAAATTTTCATACGAACATAGTTATAATTTACAACAATTATTTGAGACAGAAAGATTATTAATATTTACAAATACACATAATTTACGTCATAATTAAAAAATAACATGATTAAGTTGCGGTAAAAGAACCTTTGAGGAAATATAGCCCGAGATTTGGACAGACAAACATTTCTTCGCCGCACTCCGCCAAGCAGCTGCACATAGCAATTATTTAATTAAGGCAAAGCCAACCGGGGAAGAGGGATATCATAAGGTTTAAAATCAACCTCAGCCCACTGGACCCGGCTGCAGTACTTCTCAGCTTTTGAAAGAAACTGTAATTCCACAAAGACCTGTAAACAAGATGAGAATCAATACCATAGCTTTTATATATGAGGAGGAATATTCAGGATTAGCATTATTATTATCATTATCATTATCTTATTCATTATTATTATTTTATTATCATTATCATTATTATTATCATTATTTTATCATTATCTTCATTATTATCATTATCATCATTATCATTATTATTATATTATTATTATTATTATTATTATTATTATATTATCATTATATTATATATATTATTATTATTATTATTATTATTATTATTATATTATTATATTATTATTAGAATAGCAGAATACGCTACGCAGAAAGCGATTCCAGAATCCCTCCGTGTCGAAATTTTATCCCTTTAGGGTAAAAGAATGTTTATGAGTTGTACGCATCCGGTGAAGAAAACTTTAAAAGATTAGAAGCCAAACCAAAAAAACGTAACAATATTTACCCACTACGAATGCTGTCCAAAATATTTACCTTCTTTTTAATCTCTGTACTATGCTACTTTTCTCATCCTTTATTTGTACATTTCATTTAATTTTTATTGCACTATTTAAATTTAACTTCTTATTCATCATTAATTAATTTATTAATATTTTTATCCATCTATCTCTTTACATTTTATTCGGTTTATCAATATTCTCATTTATCTATCTCTTCATATTTTACTTAATTTTACTCCCATTACGTATTGTTTTAGTTTTATTGTGTTGTTTATATATTACTATACTTCTTCTACACCTCGCGGCACATTTAATTTTAAAAATTAGGCCCTGATTGCCAGCCTTAAGCCCACAAACCTCAGGGAATATCCTTCTACCTCTGCCACTTACTTCGCTATAAGACTTTAATGCAGACAAATTTTTAAGTGTTCCCATTCCACAAAATCTGAAGTGGCCATGCCATTATCGGTGAGATTTAATTCTTCAATTAATTTTGAAATTATTACAGTCTCTTTCAGCAGATTCAGATCAGATTTCTCAAAAGTGCTTAGATTCCGAAATTCCAGAAGATCTTAAGAACAGATAATGGAAATTTTGGGGTTTCATAGTATTTTTGACTTTCTGATTATCATTGACTTTCATCATTGACTTTCTGATTAAGTTTCTTTCTCATAACAAAAGTTTCATTTGTTTAAATGGAGTTGGGTTTGGCTTCTGCGTTAGCTACAAAACTCATGTAACATATACGACGTAAAAAAGGCATGTGATTTTCTTAGCATAAAAACGCAACATTATTTGATTTGTAAGGGCGTTTGAAGTGAACAGGCACTAGACAATATATACATTCTATAATTAACAATATATGGAGGCATAAGTACAGTTACTCCTGTCAATTCTGTGTCAGAGGTCTGTGTGTTGCATCAAACCATCTATGTTAAAAATATTTTTTTTATACTTGAGTGTTCGTAGTTCGTTACATTTTTTTCAAACGGCCGCATTGTTTTGATACATGTACGACTAGTTCCTAAGGTTTTTAGCGTTTCTTAATTTTTAGTCCAAAGGGATTTGAATCCCGAAGGACTATTAGTTTCGTTTTGGCATTTTGCGTCGGACTCATAAATGTCGGTTCACTTTTCAAACTGCTGCCACAAAATGTTAGAGTCCTGCATTATATTGAGAAATTAAATAATAAAAAAATCTGCATAAATGTATGTATATTCTCGTATTGTGTAAAACAACGGAAATAGAGTCACGAATTTTGAATAACGAATCCTCCACCGAATATGAGCATGTGGAAGACCAATTTGAATTTGAAATTTGTTTTATGATCGATTTCCTATTTTTTAAAATTTGACGAATTTGATTAACAAACTCAAGGATTTCAAAGCGAGCAATGGCAACGTTGTGCAGAAAAACATTTTATCCAGCGCGTGAGTCTCTGTATCGGAATTCAAGATAGCTCGTTTTAAAACTATTTTGCGATTGCTGTTGCACTGGATTTATGGTTTAAGTGCGGAACAGATATTAATAAAGAAATGTAACACAAAAATGTTAAAAAACGCCCCTTTGACGTATTAAACATCTGAAACATTTCATTTTTTTTTAAATTTTTTTTTTATTTTTTCATTCATTAAGTATTATTGTTTATTTTACATTGTTATTTTGTTACTTTAATAAATGACTGTTTAGGGAAATGTGGTGAAAAAAGTAAAATGAAACTAATATTAATGTATTTATTTCTTAACATTATTCCTGAAAACACCGTGGAATACTTAAAATTTCATGTGCAATTGGTCGATGATACGAAAAATAAAAAAATGATGGTACATAATTCCTTCCTTGTACGGATATTAAATTATACGCATTTTTTCTGCATTTCTTTAAACTTATTAGATGAATTAACCTATTGCCGACAGCGCATAAACCAACAATAGAATAAATGCATTTTTAAAATTCACTTTATTACCAAGCGACACTCTGGCGCTGGTTTTACTTAAACAGTATTATGTTCGTCATATTATAAGTCAGACATGCACAAAATTTATATCATTAAAGAATTATCTAATCGTTGCCAGTGTTCTATTCAAATACATAATAAAGCTAGAACTATGTATAAGAAATAAGCAAAACAAAACAAAAAAAAAAAAAAAACAGTTTTTCACACGATTAGTATTCTCGTTCAATAATTCAGATTTCACTCGCGGCGAGGCAAAAATACTAAAAACCCAAAATCGGTATTAAAATTCGAAGTAAATTTTAAAACGCTTATTTCCTGGAAAAAATTCCAGAAAGGATAAGCATGATTTAAATAAAAATGAGGCGTTTCTTGTGTTGCGAAGCTAAGTTTCTTAGATTGGCAACATCCGCTACTCAGCTGTTTCATGTAACCAAGAGCATGGCCGCCATCAAATTAGGCTTAGCGGCATTTAACAATTTTAAATGTTGAAATTCTAAAAAGATTGCATACAGATTTACTAAAGGCATAAAACCCTTACCAAGATAAAAAACAACATATTCAATCATTTTTAAAGCAAAAATGTACAATTTACAAACATATAAGAGAAAGAAACTGAGACACTGAGCCGGGTAACAGAGTGGATTAATTTATAAAATATTTATATTTGGGCGCGGCCGATTGAAACCAAAATACGAGTGCACAACTACTGTTATATAGTCTTAATTACAAAATTTCAACGTTCTGAGGCTACTCGTTTTAGAGTTATGCGAGATACGTATACGTTCTACAGAACAAACTTCTCTTCAGATTCATTTTAAAGCAGTTTTTAGTTTTTTTGGAGGAAAAGAGTTTTTATTCTGTTTTACGTACAGATATCATGCAAAAACATCCTAAATTGCATTCGAAAGCGATCAAAGGGGATATTTTCGTTGAAATATGCTGCCGAAGCTTTTCGCGATTACAATACTACCTTTTACTCGACAAGAAGTAAAAACATAATTCAGTCGTTCAATGGACTTAAAAAAATAGACAACCAGAGGGGGCGCGTATCACGCATGCGGCAAGAAAGAGTAGGGACATATGTTTATTTAAACACTGAACCTATGTTTCTATCACATAACCATTTTTAATATAAATGTATACGTTGTTAGTATGGATTATGAAAGCCACAGTTTTTTCCAATAGGATTTATCTATCTTTTAAAGCATTTTTAGCATTTCGCGCATTTTTTTCACGCTAATTGTTGTACAAACATCTTTACTTTGGTAAAACGGTAAAAACTCTAAGCACAAATTTATGAATTATTGCGTAAAAGAAAGTAAAATTAATATGATTGTTAGTACGTGTTGCGAGTATGTGAATTAATCATACAAGTCCTCGTTTAAACACAAAAAAAATTCACAATACAAGTATAAACAAGAAAATAACATATAAAACTTATAAGTACGAGAACAGAACAAAAATAGTGAAGAATAGACAGCATAGCAGCTGCCTTGCGAATGCGTTCGTCTGAGTCTGACTGTTCAACTGAATTAAAATGTTCTTTGGCATAGTTCCAAAGCGAAAGAGTCAGGTTGAGTTGTTCTGTTCCGGTGCACCGGAACATACTCCCACCCTATCAAGCATTAGTCCTGATATATGGGCAAAAAAGCTAATTTATGGATGTTTCTTTTAAAAATAGTCTAGTTCTAGTCTTAACCGTGGCCACACGAACCAGTCCGTCAGCACTATGATGAGGTTCGACCACATGTCCTAGTGGCCAAGAACCTGGAAGATGACCATCATCTAGTAACAGGACGATGTCTCCAATTTTCATATTCGGCTGAGTGTCCTTCCATTTCTTTCTGGTTTGAAGAGAAGATAGATATGCTTTGGTCCATGATTTGCAGAAGTCCTTGCGCATCTTTTGAAGGAGATCCCACCTATTCCGTATATTAGCAGGACTAGTAAGAGGTAGTTCAGGAGGGGATAGGATCACGTCTCCTGTAAGAAAATGTGAAGGAGTGAGAATATTAATGCAATCAATGTCAGTATTGTTTACACTACATAACGGACGAGAATTTAAAATGGCTTCTATCTGAGCCAATAGAGTTGTCAATTCTTCGAAAGTAAGTAGCGTTTCACCTATTACTCTTTTACAGTGATATTTGGTTGATTTAATTGCGGCCTCCCAAATTCCTCCGAAATGAGGAGATGCTGGAGGTATAAAGTGCCATTCTATTGATGCTTGAGTTAAATGATGAGCAACGGCTTCGTTCTTAGGAAGTGAAGCCCACAATCGTTGTATTTCGCTGAGCTTTTCGATTAGCCCCAACGAAGTTTGTTGCATTGTCGCTGTAAATGTGACTTGGAGCTCCTCGTCTAGCACTGAAGCGACGCAAAGCAGCTAAAAATGCATCAGCGGTTAAATCGCTCACTGCCTCGATGTGTAGTGCCTTAGTAGCGAGACAAATAAATAGAGCAATGTAACCTTTGGTTGATTTTGCTCCACGACCCTTGTTGAATTTAATTGAAATAGAACCGGCATAGTCCACTCCGCAGTTGAAGAAAGGCCTCTCGAGTGTTACACGATGCTTAGGTAGATTACACATAATCTGAGATCGGTGGATGCTTTAAATTTGAAGCATTTGATGCATTTGTGAGCACATTTATTAATGAACTTTTTTCCACCTATTGATCCAATATGATTGTTTGATAATGTGGGACAGTAATGAAGCACCAGCATGTAAATAAGTCACATGCTTTTCTTTTACGATGAGCTCACTTATCTTGTGTTTAGCAGGTAGAATCACTGGGTGCTTTTGATTAAAAGACAATTCTGAATTTTGTAAACGCGCCCTCCCACCCGTAAAAGACTGTTTTCATCTATAAACGGATGGAGGGAGTGTAGCTGACTTTTCTTAGGCAACGATCTTTGATTTTTAATGCATTTTAGGTCTTCATTAAATAATCTTTCTGAACCCATCGAATTATGATTATTTCTGCATTTTTAGTTTCCGTGTAAGTGAGTGGGAGAAAAGGAATCAGTTATAAGTGTTTGACATTTGTTATTGGTTTTGCACTTATTGATGAATCTTAAACAATATGCTAAAATGCGTATAATCTTAGAAAATGATGAATATTTTTCAAATAAATCACTATATAATTCATTTGATGTAGCACTATGAAATGAAAATATAGGATCAGATCTTTGTTCAGCTTTAATTAGATCCTTGATTTCTTTGGAAGCGGATTCCTCTTTCGGCCAGTGAGACGAATCCAAAAAAAAGCCAACTTGGGCCATTCCACCACAAGTTGCAATTAGGAAGACATTTGGGATCAATACCACGCGAAGCGATATCTGCTGGGTTCTCTTTGGAAGGGACATGCCTCCAGTATTTTGTGGAAGTACTTCGATTATTTGAGACGTCCGGTTTGCAACAAAAGTCTTCCATTTACGGGGATGTGCCGACGAAAGCCAGGAAAGTACGACTTTGGAGTCAGTCCAAGCGTAAACATCAAACTTATATTTTTTGAGAGTGTTCATGACTGCACGATATAACTTTGAAAGCAAATGAGCACTGCATAATTCCAATTTAGGAACAGATACTTGTTTGATAGGTGCGACTTTAGTTTTTTTAGAAACTAAGAGAGAAACCTTTATTTCATTTCCGTGTATTTGTTTGCAATATATTGCAGCAGCGTAAGCAAGTGTTGAAGCGTCGCAAAAGCCGTGCAATTCAAATGTGTCAGAGGAAATAAGCGTGACACCTCTAGGAACGGTAAAATGTTCAACTGCATTGAAAGATTTCTGAAATTTAAACAAATCTTCAGCAAGACTTTGTGGAATAGGAGAATCCCAGTCCCCTTTTGTAAGCCAGAGCTTTTGATAAAAAATTTTCAATACAACAGTACATGGTGAAATTAATCCTAATGGATCGAAAATGCGTGCCGATTGGGACAAAATGTGTCTTTTTGTCAGCGGTGAGGTGAGTGCAAGTGCGGGTTTGAAAATGAATGTGTCTGTTGAAGAGTTCCAAAATAATCCTAAGACTTTCGTGCTTTCCTTATCATTAGGAATTATTTCTAAATTAGTGTCCGTTGAACAATGTTCTTGAAATTCTGCAAGAAATGCATTTGAATTAGAATTCCACTTTCGTAGGTGGAAACCGTGCGTTTGTAAAATATTGGTAATTTCTTTACAAAGTGATATTGCATCACTATCGGTACTTGAACCCGATAGCAAATCATCCATGTATACATCGTGTAGTAAAGTATGAGAAACACAACTATTTTGTGAATAATCTAGTGCAATTTGCTTAATGCACCTAGTGGCTAGGAAAGAAGCTGGAGCTAAACCATATGTTACGGTGTTTAACTTGTATGTGCGTATTTCTTCGTTAGGATTAAACCTCCAAAGAATTTGTTGGTAATTCCGATCCTCATCGGACACTAAAACTTGACAGTACATTTTCTCTATGTCTGCTGAAAAGACTATTTCCGGAAATCGAAAATTAAGTAAAATTTCGAAAATGTCTCGTTGCAATTTAGGACCAACACCCAAGATTGAATTCAATGATTTACCGTTGGAAGTTTTACATGAAGCGTCGAAAACGACTCTTAATTTGGTAGTTGTACTAGACGGCTTGATCACTGCATGATGGGGAAGGAAATATTGCTCATTCTGAAATCTATTTAAACAGTTTTGTGTGACCAATTCCATATGACCTAAATTTTCATATTCATGCATAAAATCCTTGTATTGGTTTTCAAATTCCGAGTTTTCCTTAAATTTACGTTCCATAGCATATAATCGAGAAAGTGCAGCTGGTTTTGAATTACCTAATTCAGATTTAGATTTTAAAAATGGCAACTTCACCAACAAAACGACCATCTGAATTAATTGAGTAATTTTCCTGAAAATGTGTTTCAACAAATTGTTCTTCAGGTGAGAATACAGTGTCAGTTGAATTTGGCACTTCTTCTAACTCCCAAAACCTTTTCAATTCGCTGTCAATATTTATTTCATAAATATGCAAGTTTGAAAGTGAATTTGATTTCGTTTGAGATTCCGGTAGTTTTCCGGATATGAGGAAACCAAATATTGAGTTTTGAGCAATTAAATCACTTTGAGAACAAGTTATTTGTTCAGGACGTAAAATAGAAAACAAGTAGTCAGATCCTAGAATAATATCTATCTTATCCGGAATGTGAAAATATGGATCAGCTAACTTTACATTTTTCAAATGCGAAAAGTTTTTCTCATTTATTTTTGGCTTGGAAGCGCAGCAGCAGCAGTTAGTTTATCTAATACAAATGCCTTAATTGGCATTCTCACTGATGTATCATGGATTGACATCAACTCGATTTCAACGCAACCTTTTGTAACTGCGACTTCTGACTCAGCTAAACCCTTGACAGGAAAACGCGCATTTTTCCTTTTAAATCCCAATAAATTAATACAAGATTCAGATAATAATGTTGATTCGGAACCACTATCACAAAGCATTCTAATATTACGTTTTTGACCCATCGAATCAATTACATTTACATACGCAGTTGGCAATAAGCCAAAAGTTGTTTGAACGCTATTATTTTGAATTACAGTTCCGTTTTTGTTTTCATTCGTAGACGCAATGTCTGGTATTTCATTCGCGGTTGGATTCTTTCTTTGCTGTTCTGACTGAAAACTGGCTCTCAGAAAGAGACGCAGATGTGGAATAACTTTTTAACTGATTTTCACACAGAGTACTATGATGCAATAACTGGCAATAATGACAACGATGTTGAGACATACATTCAGATTTTTTGTGCTGACTAGAAAAACAATTTAAACAAAGATTTATTTTCCTAACAAATTGATTTCTTTCTTTGACAGTTAGTGCTTTAAATTTGGGGCATTTGAAAAGAAAATGATCTGATTTACACATAATACATTTGATACTTTTGTTCACAGAAAATCTTTTAACACTAGGTTGAGTTTTTTCCCTTTCTTTTTCGTGGAAAATTTCTAAAGAGGAACATCTATCATTTATAAATTGAATAAACATTTCAAAAGTAGGAAATTCCACTTTTGCTGAAAACTCAGACCATTGTTTACATGTTTCGTTGTCAACCTTCTGTAATAAAATATAAATTAGCCAGACATCCCTTTCATTAGCTTTTGGATCAATAGATTTTAAACCTCTGATAATCTCATCAGATGTATCGGCAATTTTTCGCAAATTAATTGAGTTTGCATTAATTACACAAGATTGATCCATGAAAGTTTTTATTAGTGATGTGACAATTTGTTTTTTCTTATCATACCTAGATAATAATTTTCCCCAGGCTTCCATATAACTATTTTCTGAAATGGGAATATGTTTAATAATAGAAGCTGGTTCATCAGTTAATAAACCCTTTAGATATTGAAATTTTTGAATGTTGCTTAAATTTTCATTGTTATGCACTAATGATACATATAAGTCCTTGAAAGACATCCAGTTTCTGTAATTACCGTTAAAAGATTGCATATTTATTCTCGGTAATTTAAAATTATTAGCAGTATTTGTAGTACTATAACCTGGCATTTGACGTTCATTAACATTAGTAACTTGCATATTAACAGTAACATTTAATTTCTCAAGTTCTTGTTGTAGTTTGGCTTTGGTTTCATAATATTTTTTCTCAAATTCTTCCATTTCAGAACTTTCCGGCGGAAGTTCTGCGTCTGCCTTGTCAAAATCAGAATAAACGCTTTCAATTTTTTTGAAGTTTATTCATCGTAAATCGTTTTTCGAATAACTGCTTATCATCATTAATGAAATTTGAAATTCTGGTAAGAGCAGCTTTCGCTCTACCTCTACTATTTTTTGCAATCTTAACCTTGTCTTCCATTACGACGTAATGGTGCAATGAGGAAAACCAAAGTCAAACTTGTAAAAAAAAAAAAAAAAAAAAAAAAAAAAAAAAATACTTATCTTGCTTGGTCTTTAAATGAAGTTCGATGCTAAAAGTATCCAGTAGTATCCATTACTGTACCGAATGCAGCGTTGCAGTGCTGACGAAACCGAAATCAGAATTCCTTTAATCTCACTGGTGCCTCCAAAATTATTATGTTGCGATGTAATGTGAATTAACTCAATACACGTCCTCGTTTTAAACACAATCTTATATTAAATAACTGCACAATACAAGTATAAACAAGAAAATGACATATAAAACTTATAATACGAGAACAGAACAAAAATAGTGAAGAATAGACAGCATTCCAGCTGCCTTGCGAATGCGTTCGTCTGAGTCTGACTGTTCAACTGAATTAAATGTTCTTTGGCATAGTTCCAAAGCGAAAGAGTCAGGTTGAGTTGT